TCTGAAATTATGATGAACATCTGTCTAACACAAATACACATGTACTAAAAGTGCGAGAATATTTACTTCACATAAGTCCTGCATCCAAATTATGTTTAAATATCAAAGAGCTTTCTCTTTCAAAACCAAGGACTACATAAGAATTTGATTCAAGATACAAATTATAATTAGGCCTTTTGGTTTAATACATATTTCAAAATAATGTACATTGTTGTTAACCTGACTTTGAACAAAGATTTACAAATGAACAACGCGATCATCAATAACTTTATAACAAAATATCAAATTGCGTATATCTACATGACAACTATCATGATTCTTAAAAATAGGACAACAAAGATTGACACAAAAGACTTACTCATAGAGAGTTGCTAACATAGATGCAATTAATAGTAAATGACTACTAGTGAATATAATTATAGTTCATGAGTTTACAGGATAAATAACTTGTGTGTACTTTCAAATATCACATATATTTGCTCAAAAATATCATGGCAATGTAATTGTACAGAGCACATCAATTTCAGGTGAAAACTTAAAAGCTGAAGATTATGAATATAATAGTATTGGAGAAGCATGTCCATATAACGAAAATCTCAAAACATAAGCCTTATAAAAAAATAAATTATTTTAAATTATTATAATGTTTATGTAATGCCAAATAATAAAAATATAATATATATAAAAAAATTATATGTAAATTTTTTAATTCAAAAATGAAACAATTATTCATGATAAAAATTTTAATTCCACTATAAATAATTACTTTAAATTACTTTGACAAATAACCGATAATATATTTATTAAATATTTAAAAAGTTTATACTGATGCAATTAATATAAACAAACTTTGAAAACCCAATTGAAAGCAGTAATAAAGTAATATTATATATATTACAAGTATAAATTGAAATTAAATTATTGAATTATCTATACTTCATTATTTATGCATTGAAATATGTAACATATTACTCTAGATAATCATGATAATTAGGAGTGTTAAAACGTAATATTACTTAATATATTCATAAACAAAAAACAATATATATATAATTATAATGAAATATGGCTTACTCATGGTTATCTAAGTATAAAAGAATATAATACTATATAGCATTGTAAAATTAACAATTTATGATATATTATGTTATCATTATATTAAGCACTTCAAATATACAAAGATACAAATTTAAGAAATACGACAGCATAACACATTATTATAAAATTTATAATAGCACCTTTCACAATATTTTTTTATATATGTTTTAATAATTTTTTCATAATATTTCGTTAATATCTATTTATTATAAAACAAATATATATGCAGTAAAATAAAAAAATATGTAATGAAGAATAATGTATATATAATATATTTTTACAATGAATAATATCGTAACATTAAGGGCTAATATATATAATATTATTCATTTATACTCTTCATTATAAAAAGAATTAATACAACAAATAACTATATATAAATTAGATCTAATTATACATAATAATATAGCATTTACTAAAATTAATCTTGGAAATTTATGACATTAATAAATATATATCACATATATATAAACTAATAGAGTAATTAACCTTATTGAATTATATGGTCCTATTAAATCCTATATAATATAAAACTACTCATGAATTATATTAAGTTTATTTAAATATAGTTAACATGTATTGCTACATTTTTCTTTTTGTATTAATTGTCATTTATTCTTTACATAATATTAATCCATTAACAAAACATTCATTTCTAAATCAACACATCAAAGAAGTATAATGCTAATCATTCGTATAAATTATTTACTAAAATATTTCTCAATATAAACATTTATATTTATCTTTTAAAAGATATTATAAGACACACTATTTAATAGATTAGACTAAACTATTGATAATGCAAATGTATATTCCTATAAATTCACTATAGAAGACAAGAATATTATAATAAACGTTTTATATTTTTAACAACATTACATGAATCTTGTTAATTAATTAAATTGTATGTGTAATTATAAACCTAAAGATCAATGTTACTTTATGATTAATTATTTATTAAAATGAACGACTTATCCAGGACGAATAATAATACAATAGATTAATCATTATAAATATGTTAATAAATATATATTCAAAAATTAGTGTAAAATGTAATACATTATGATGATGAATATACATGGTACAACATAATACGTAATCCGATATTTATAGCACGTAAAGCATCATTATGTGCACAAGCTATGTCTTGTTTCTTTAATTAATTCACAGATATAAAACATTATGACAAAAATTATGTTCTTAAATGCAAATGTATTTTTTATTTATTATTAAAAATAGGATTTTTATTAACACATTTGAATGTGTCTATTTCTGTGAAATCAAGGTGAAATATGTTTTCTTTAATTTTAGTATAAAATTGCTGAATATATATTATATTAATTCTTAGGATATTTTTTCTGATGAATTCCTCACTATTCACATTATATCCGATACACTTTATATTTTTACAGTCATACAAAATATAATTTGTTTAATATTGCTGCTACTCTAGAAAAAATATATAATTGAATAACATCTTTCCACTATATAATACAAAACACAATAATAGTATGACTATACAAATAATAATTTTTAAATCTAATGTGCTATATTCTTTTTCATCAATTCATTTATTTGCACACTGAAAAAATAATAATTATGAATGGAATAACATTTTAATTGAACGACATAAGAAAACAGACAAATCACGTTTCTTACTAAATTAATTAATGATACATATTTCTATATATAATGATTCACAGTATATATAAAACGTAGAATAGATATAATCAAATTATTATTAATAACTCATATGTTTATTATAAAATGCAAAATCATACGTAAACAAAAATTACCCATAGTATACGTGATTATTCATTCTATAAAATAAAAACATTGTCTTTGCTTTGTTAATATATATGTGTAAACACAAAAATAATTTGAAATATATACATATTTTAATAGACCACTTGATAATAAATATTTCAACACTAATTTATGATATATAATGTTTCACGCAAAAAAATACATTATATTTCACGTTTATCAATTATTTGCATATAGTTTGTTATTTATGATGATGTATATTACATTTACATAATTATTTGCACATTAAATATTAAAGAAAATAACTGTACTATAGAATATGTATGAGCGCCTTATTAGAAAATATGGAATATGTGTTTCATTCAATTTATATTATAAATTATTATTTATTTAATTCATCTCTAAATATTTATTTTTTTTTTATACATATCATTCAAAATTATATGATATACATCTATCTTAATCCTCAGTATTAATTTGTTATGGCATGATCCATATTTATAACATATTTATTTAATTATATATATTAATATATTAAAAACTCTCCCATATATTTATAAAATAATTGCAAAGTAACCAAAATAATAGAGTATTTATACGTGCATGTTTATTACATTTAAACACGTATAGCGATTCTTTATCACCAAATAAATATATATAAGAAAATGTGAAAAAAATTAGTAAAAAAAATTAATAAAAAATATATGATTATTTTGTCTATTTATAATACAAATAATAATGTGATTAAGTTATGCAAAAGATATAATTTTTTTATAAATAAATTTACAAGAAATTTCCACATGAAAGTATAAATTTACGAAATATATTTATAAAATGCATAAATAAAGTAAGAAATATTTAATTAATATTATCATAAATGTAATAAATAAATTGTAATAACAAAGTTATGTACAATAAAAATTCAAATAATAGAAATTTTATTATTTAAAACATTTCATTTTCTGGTTTCAATATAATAAATATTCAAATATACTATACACTTATCATATGCTCTATAATTAATTTTTGGAATAGAATAGAGATAAAGAAATTGTATTTATCAAGTTTTAGATGCTTAATAAAATAAACGTAATACCTATTATAAAAATGTGATTTTTCATTTTTCGTTTATGTTTGTATAAATGTATACAAACAAATAAAAAGGTATAAATTTTGATATATGTATAAGAAACTATATGCATAAAGTAATGATGCGAATAAACTTATTATTGAAATAATATATCCATATATATATTAATAAAATTATATTTCGATACATTAATAGTTTATATCATTTGATTTATTTTATTAATATTATAAAAATATACAAATAATATAAAATATATAGAAAAACTAATTAATTTTTCATAATTGAAAAATTACTTTTTAGTTTTATGATCATGCGTTTATGATACATATGAATTAGTACAAATAATTAAGAATTTATTAATTCCCATTGAAGTAATATTGATGTGGATGAGTTGTAAATTTAATTTAGAAATTAATTTTATCATAAAATTATAATTAATTAGTACAAATTAAAAAATATCACATAGATATGTGTATTAAATATATAGGATTAATACTAACAGTGAAATTTGCTTTCATAAAAATCATAAATAAATTCAATTTAATAATAATTGTATAAGAATAGTTCAAATAAACAATTTATGTATAAAATGAGAATACTAATGATATATACTATGATTAATATGATATTTGGCACTTATATTTATTAAAATTTATGCATGGAAAAGAAAATTAATTTAAAAATAAATAATACTACACTATTTATAATTAATTATTTCCAAGAGTTTAATATATTTTTTACATATGAATTTACAGAATATGCTGAATATTAGTTTTTACACTGTATATTAATATAAAAACAAAATATGCACTTTTAATAAGATATATAAGCAAAAGGAAGGTGTACCTATTAATTAAAGAACTATATATGAGCACTTATAATTGAAATATAGAAAAAGAATATATATTGGAAATAATATATTTAACTAGATAATTATTAAATTGGAATTTTATTTATATATATAATTTTTTTTTAAATATATATACATTCATTTTTATTCAATATATTTAATTTTATGTAATATTACATCAAGATTAATAAAAGAATGTCCATAATTTATAAGGTATAAGATATGGAATGCTTAAGTGGATATATTTTATAATTATGATGAATATAAATACATGTAATACATTATAATAGTTGTAAATATAATTTTACTATATTATTAATCTTATATATTTGAATTGTAGGAGAATTATTTACTAAGTTTACCATCTATAATTAATTATAGGAAATTGGACGAAGGAATCAATTATTGCCTTCATGATGAGGAAACAAAAATAAGAGAAAAATTAAAAATCTTTAAAAGCATTGATGGAATTTTACAAAAACTATTAGATATTTTATGCTATATGCCATATTTTTCAACCATATCTAATTCAACTGAAGAATATTGTAATTTTTTTTATTACTGGTTTGGAAATATGATTGCTAATATAAAACATGAAGAAGAATTTAATAAAATAATCAATATATTTTATGATGGACTAACTATAGTTGGAGCTTCAAATAAGTGCGTAAATCATTTTATTAGTAATAGTATAGATGATTTTAAAAAACTGAAAAGTGTTTATGATTATTCTATAAATTACTCAAGTATTAAACAAAAGCTTACTGATAAAAAAATTTCATGCAGCCAAGAGCTTAAAGAATTAGTGAAAGACGCAGAATATATATATGATGAAATGTACAGAGAATGTATTACAGGTAATAAGAAAAATTATTGTAATTCATTTAAAAAAATATTCCCTAATTATCCAAATGGAAATAAATTACATCCATTAAAATGTGATCTAAGTAAAGCAATACCATCCTCTCGATCGATGGAGTATTCACCCTCAATTATAAAAATACGTGAATTATCTCCATACGATGATATACGAAATAAATCGCGAGAATATTTATTTAGAGTATTTTTGCCTATGATGGTCATATCACTTATTTCTCCTGTTTTATACCAAGTTTATTAAACAAAATTCATAAAAATAATTATCCTGTAATTTTATCTATTAATTTATAATCATAAATACAACAATAAAATACATTTATAGAAATAGTCAACATATATGATTTATTTTCTAGTTTACTCCAGTTAAAACTTGGATGCATAAATTATTTAGAGAGGGTAGGAGCTTAATGGGTAAAATAAAGGATATATGGATACCAGGATTAAGACAAAACTTTTATGAATCTGAAAAATTAAATTCATACAGAAACTACTTTAACTTATCATATAGTTTTGAATGATTTCATACCATACCTATTGAGTAGTGTAATTGAAGTATACTAATTAATAGTCTCTAAAAATATCATTCTAATTAATTAATTTCAATAAAATTGAAACAGAAAAAAAAATTCTCCAAAACATCGCTAAATGTGCACAAATTTTATTGTTCCTTGAAAAAATTAATTGGATTATAATATTATAAATATATTTAAATAAAAAATGAGCATATGTTTTTATAAACAACATGTGCATATATGATTAATTATAAAATACTTTCTTGTTCCTTTTTAATAATATTAAATTATTTCTGATTTTACTGAATACATATGAAAGATTTCCTTATACTATTATTAGAAAATAATTTAGAGTCTCATAAGAAAAGGAAGAACTATATATTTTAAAAAATTCTCATTATTGGAGCTTTAGTTAAAATATAATATTATTATAATAATCATTTTTATTATATCACAAAACCATAACGGCTTTTGTAAAATCTGTTTATAAAAAACTTAATGTATAACATTTCTATTATAGTAACTGAAAAATTGAATATTCATTTTAAATTATGATTTAATATATGGACAGTTCAACGCGTAAATATTAATTATATATTTTATATTATGCTAATTAAATATATTAAATTATATAACTTAGTGTTTTCATTACATTGAAGTCGATATAAATAACTAGCATACATTTTTTTCATTGTACAAATTATGTGTCTAAAAAAATTAAATTAATTATCTTACAGACTAGGATTATTCTAAAATTCACAGTTTTGAATATAAATAATTATTAGATTCACTTAATGTCTGTACATTGATAATACATTAATAATAATATTCTAATGAATATTTCATTCATATAATTTATAATATGTTATAGTAATAATATTTAATATGTAAATGCTTACTTTTTAAGATTAAATGGATAACTGTGAAAATTTGCATTGAATTATTAAGAAATTATCACAAATTTTTACCATATTAATTTGGCACATTGTATTATATATGGTTTAAAAAAAAAAAAAACATGCTGTATGCATATAGATATTATATATACTAAATAACATAATTTAATTAATCATAATATTTAACACTTATATATTATTATATTAGTGTAAAATATTAAGCATTTCATTTACATAGTATATTTTAATTATGTGTTATTACTTATAGAAGTGTATTATATTAAATAACATATCCATAATTCACATAATAAATAAGGAACATATATTATATAAATACACGATAATAATAAAATTGAACAAATTTAGAAATATGTATAAATTTATTGTGTATTGTCAAAATATTTTTAATGTGTGCAGATTTTATTTCATTTAATAATACAGTATAAATTATAATTTATATTATTAATTTATAATATTTATAAAAAAAATAACAATTTTTTATATATTATCACTTATTCTTGACAACAGGAATATTATATAATTATAAACATATTATTAAACAGTACCTTTAGGAAATTAACTATATACTGTTATAATTATGTTTAAATTCTAAATAAGAAAAAATAAATTATCTCAACACATATTTTATAATAGTTTATAATATTTAAAATATTTATTCATATCTCATAAACAATAAGAAAAATCATTTTTTATGTATATATATAATATTAAGCATTATATCTAATGTGTTATATACAAATATACTCAATAAGTATTTAACTTTTTTTAAATTATCTACAAAATTATATAAAAAATTTATAAACGCATACATAATTTATATTTAAGAATTTTTATATATGTTTTAAATATAAATTAAACATACAAAAAATTATAAGTTAATAATATATTTTTCTTTATAATATTTAACTATAATGTATTTTTTTATAGTTAAATATATAACTCAGTATATTATTTTTTGTCAACTAAAAAATTTTCAATTAACCAAATAAACAAAATTTACATTTAATGGTTAACACATAAATAATACAAATTTATAAATAAATGTTATATGTTGTGATAAAATATAATAGTTCCTTTTACCATTATTATATATTAATATAAAATATGTTTTATTAGAAAATATGTATCTTTTATGTGTGTTACATTCTTATTAATTGTATATTTAATATTAAATGATACAGAAATTATTATTAATTTATATACGAGTTAAGAAGAACTGCATAACACTGTTAAAGTAGAAATAAAATATAATTATTTAATATAAAAAAATATATATTTTTAACTACAGTTAATACTCAAAAAGATTGTAAAAGATAACAAATATTATATAACTATGAAAATCTTTGTTTTAGTTCTAGATACCCATGAATATAATGAATAAATTGTAGGAAAATATTATAATAAAATATGTGATATAATTCAAGCAAAAAATGTGAATTAAACATATGCTATAATTTTTTTAATATATATTATATCTTTGAAAATTGTCTAAATGAAGTGTTCTTTTTACTACAGATAATATAATCGTACAATAATATACGAATGCTATTTTCTAATGCAATTATATGAATAAGTTTATATGAATCAAGGAAAAAATGTAAACAAGAAGGTAAAAAAAATAATACAAATTAAATAAATTGTCTTTCATAATTCCATATGTTATATGGTGCAAAATATTTATAATTATAAAATATTATTAATATGGCGAAGATAAATATAAGAATATAAAACATATAGCTAATATTATTTTTAGTTGTAATAGTATTAAATATTTAGAAACATGTTTTACTGGGGTAAAAATATATATAGAGAGAGAAAGGTTATATAAGAATATTATGCTAACATAAATATTTTTATATATATATTTTTTATTATTTATATATTCAATTAAATTTCATATGTTTATATGTAATATTAGTTTTAGTATGTATAAATATATCTTTATTTATGGTAAAATATTAGAACAATACAATATATAGATATGTATCATTTAATTCCTAATGCAAAAAATTATGACTCCACTAATTATTATATTTTTATTTGTTTATAATTACCAATACAACAAATTACTATTTTTTTTAATTTATATTACATTACATTCTATTTCACTAACATATTATTGTTAATGTTCAAATTGTTTATAATAATAATAATATATGATTTGATATTTTTTATTATAAATATGTTCTCTAATTAGGTTTCAATATTTTCCTTGTAAATATGTTTAAGAAATATAATACTTATCCTTTGTATTATTCTGTTATATGTATTTCTTATTATATACAGAATGAACACCAAATACGCAATAAATAAAGTTAATATTTTTTAATATTTTTCAAAATTATAATATTATTACAATTAAAATTAATAATTATGTAATATATTTTTACTGATTAATATAATAATACAATTATACTACTTTTATTATTTAATGTATCCAAAGATTTATTTTTCAAGTCTTCTCTATTTCTCCTTCCTTAAATTTTTTATATATTTTATAATTCTTCTCCATTAATATATAACATGGACAAAAATGATAAGTACATAAATTAATATATGAATTATTGCTCTTAGTCTCAATTCTTCTATATAAGTAATTCCATTTAGAATACATTTCTGTACAATTAGACGAATATACTACAAATTTCTTTTTATTTATATTAATGATGAAATATATATTTTTCATAACATAATTATTCATAATAAATAACACATTATATAAATCTTTAGTACATTATACATAAAATGTTCTGTAAAGATATATACAATTAATATTTTTTATTTAATAAATAATTTTTTTTTGTGCATTAATCATGAATGAAAAAAACATTTCTCTTTCACAAATGATATTTAATCAACCTATATAATGTATAAATTTTAAATATTTTTCGTTTTTTATGTTTAATGATGATGTATAATAACTGACTGTACATTTTTAATTTATTGTACTTTTTAATAATCTAAATTTTTTTCTTTTTTATATTTTTGAAATATTCAAATATCCATATATACTTTTTTTTTTTTTTTAAATAATAATACCTTAGCATTCTTTGTATTACTTATAATTATTTTGTCACATATTTGTTCGTACAATTATTTGTTTATTAATAGAATTATGATGTCATTCAATCTTATTGTATTACTTAAAAATAAACTAAATTTAATTAATTCTGTCTATTATCAACCTTTTTTTTTAGTATTCTACTGGATCATATGCTATTAATTTTTTTTTAAAATTTAAATGATCCTATAATCTTTCAAATGGATCAAAAGACTTATTATGTTTTTTATTTTTTCTGATCAAAGATTTATTTAATTTCCATACTCTTGATTTTATAAGTGAACCATAATTGGTATACTTATATAAAAAACAAAAAATAATATATTTGTGAATACATATAATATTTTATATAAATGTTTCACTAGAAATATAATATATATTTTAATACAATGTGTATTAAATGAATTATATAAATGCTTAACCTTATACAAAATGAATATAATTATTAGCATTGTGAATGATAATAAACTTATTCGTGTCGGTAGTCCTGCACCATTATCTATATATGTTCCTCTATATGCATCTATGTTCATATCTGTATCTGTGCTTGTTACAGAATCTTTATGGATTCCTTTTTCAAGTGTACTCAATATTCCTATTCTTTTCTCTTCTGGAAAAATGTAAGATAAGTGAGCTCGTTCATGGCTATTTTTACCCAATCTATTCAAAAATGTAATATAATTTTTATTAACATTTTCTAGTACTAATTTAAAAGTTTTGTTATACTTATTTTGAGAATTTCCTAATAGTTTCATACGATTTCTAAATTTTTTAATATCGGAGTAGTTTGGATATATGTCATTATTCAACTTGTTAAATATATTATATAGCTCTTCAAAACGTTTCATTGTTTGAAGTAAATTATTGTCAATGTCTTTATAGTCATTAAGTGTATACACACATATTTCAGAAAAATGTGCAAGATAGAATATTTTTTTGAGATTTCTTTTCTCATTTTTTCATAACAATCTTTTGTTGTGCTGCATTTACCATTATAACTTTGTACTAAACCTTTAAGCTTGTAATAGAAATATTCGCAATGTTCATTTACATTAAAACCTGAATTATTTTTATTTTGAATATGAGCTAAATATATTTCATATTCTTGGCAGTATTTATGGAAAATAACATTATACTTTTGATCAATATTCAGAGTGTTATAAAAATCATTGCAAGCACTTGAAAGTTTATGCCCAAATAATTTCATCTCGTAATTATTAATTGTCAATTTATAGTCACTTGTATATTTGGGAAATATTCATGCAAAATCGATCTGAAAATTAAAATATTCCAATATATATTATATATGAATTAACAAAATATGAAAAAATTTTATGTATCTCTATAATAATATTGTATTTTAATATTATATAACATAAAATATATTTTAATTAATATATATTGACATACGTTATCATTAACATCTATAGACTCACTCATATTTAATATATCATAAAAAATATTAATAACTTTTTTATTATTATTATAAATATTAATTTTTTAATAATAATCGTAAAAATTATATTAGCATAAATTTCTTAAACATTAATTTTTTTTTAGAATTCATATTTTTATTAGATTTTACTTATATATTAAACTATGTTATTATTTTTTTTTTTGGAGGAAATGAAACATTATTTCTTATAAATAGAAATTTAGAAAAATATATTTATACATATTGATATATTTTATAATATTAAAAAAAAGACAATATTATTATAATATTGCTATATATATAATATTACTATGATAAATACATATTTTATAATAACACAATAAGATATATAATTATTGATGTAACCATTAATTATTTTAAATAATTTATTTAAGCGTTCCTAATTATGCTAATATAATGCTGGATAGATAAGTATACGATAATTTATGCATTCATGTTTGCTATATATCACAGAATATATATGGATCTACTATTCAAAAAAAATTCACGTATATATCTTTTAATTTGTATAGCAGGTTTTGTTATACTAAATATATTTTATAATGATTACATTTTTTTTACAAACTTCCTATTTTATAAAATTGTAAGACATTTATATATAATAACTCATTATTAATTTATTCTGAAACATTATATATTTAAATGTATATTTATTTTAATATAGAATTTATATAAATACTTAAATTAAAAAAATTTCTAAGAATTTTTAAAAATAAAATACGATTATCCAACTTATACAGTAATACGATATATTTATGTAAATATGCTCCATATTGTACAATTAAATAATAGTACATTTAAAATAAAGTAACATTTGTACACAAAACATGAAAAGAAATATTAAGAGAAAATAAATTATTATTATATATTTTTCTTATATTATCTATCATGTAAAGATTTGTACATAGTATAAAATATATTATTAATATATATATAATTTTTATAATATCCCCATATATAAATATAAATGGATAAAACATATATATATAGTTCATAAATAAAGTTATATATATTTAATTTTTTTTGTTGTGTTATCATACTTAATTGCGACGATATGTCATATATATATAATTTCATTATTATAATATTAATCCTGTTAAAAAAAAAAATTATTTTTATAATAATATAACAATAAGCTTTATATGTATAGCACAAATATTCTGTAATAAATATGTTATGTATAAGAAATTTAAAAAATTTATATTTATGAGTATTTTGACTCCTAGTAAAGTAAATACATACCTCATTATTAAAATGTAACGTCTGTATTTATTTATGCTCATAAATAAAAATCTATTAATATAGAATGTTAATAGAATTCATGTTTATGAAGAAAAAAAGGATAAATCTATGAAACAAATAAAGTTTATCATTATTTTTCTAATACATATATGATGAAAAAATTTAAGCATTTATTCAATATGTAAGGATATAATAAAGAAACACAATAGAATACAAAATATAAACATATTCAAGATTATTATATATTATCATGAATTATAAAAAAATTATTCTTTAAAATATATATATTTATTGAATCAGAAAGAGAAAAAATCTTTCATTATAATATTTTGCAATATAATAGAATTAGTATATTACCTTAATTTCTAGAATTTATATATTCTATTTATATTCATAAATCTATATGATGTAATATTAATATATAATTCAAAAAATATTTTCTAATATATTTCATAAAATTTTTATATATTAATGTAATAAAAAAATTTATAATTCTATGAAAAAAAATCTTATATATATGTATTTGTTGTTTACTATTGTATTGGTATGTATTTTTTTTTTCCATTTTATAATTTTTTTTATTCTATTATAATATTAATTCAAAATTTAAATAAACAAGATATGAAATTCAATTTTTCATTAAAATTCTAATATACTCACTAATATATTATCTTATATTTTTGCATCATTAATGATTTAAATACAAGAAAAATAAAAAAAAATTTACAGTAAAAATTATATAGTTAATTAAAATTTATTTCTTAATTATGTTTTATATTTTTAAAATAAATATATATATATATATTGTGCTATAAATCTATATTATTATATAATCATTTTAAAACTTATAATGTATATATAAGTTATAATATATAGTATACATATAACTTCTATTAATTAAAATAAAAATAGTATTCATTTACATGTACGATATATTTAATATTATTTCATGAAATATGATATATATTTATTTGGATATAAATTTCATATCTACTTAACTCCTTTGTAGTAAAATAGACATGGTATTACTTTATAGCACATTTAAATCTATATATAAACAATACTCACTTAAGTGTGTTTATGTTATCATGTATCTCTATTTAGAACTCTTTACATTTTAATAAAAAATATATCTGGTTCTTTAAATCTCATTACATTGCTTGTAATATTTTTTTTTTTTTGCTGAAATATAACTGTTCAAAATTATAATTTCTGTAGAATTATTTTTGCCAATCTTGTTCTAACTTTCACGATATATATAATCTTATCATTATTATATTTAAATAATATATTTTTTGTTTTTTTTACTAAGTATAATATAAGCTCTCATTATTCTAAGATATTTTGTACAATTATTTCATTGAATAATTAACATTTTACATACAAATAGAATTTATAAAATTTTAACAAATCTGTTTATATAATTTTAATAGTACTGTGCATTAAAATATAAATACATAAATATATATTTTATAGTCATACATTTATTCTTATGTACTATTATTTTTGTACATCCACATACTATGTTTCTATTATTAAATTCGATTTATTTTCATAAATTATAATTATGCTAGGAATTCTTGTACAATTTTATCTACATTTTAAAATATTTATTATTCTTAAAATTCCTTTTTTTTTTGATTTTCTTTGCTATAATAATTCACTTTTAATGTTTTACTGTATTATATAAGACATACTTGCATGAAATCATTAATTTTCATTGTACACATTTTAGATGTATAATATTGAGTCATATGCTATTTGGTATTTTTCATCTATTACATCATTGTATGTGTGTTCAAATGATTTCAGTAATTTGAGTCGTTCTATGTTTTTTGTATTCCTCATTCTCATTATTTTTCTTATCGTAAATTGTACATAAGCCATATATGGGGTAAACTAATAAAAAAAATAAAATAATATTTTTATAGATATGGAATTTTTATGTTTATATATTTATTATAATTTGTATTATACATTTTTATAAAATGTACTTTTATTAAATAAATATATATTCAACCTTATACAAAATGAATATAATTATCAATATGACAATAGTTACGAATCCTGTGCCGAAAAATGTCCAAGAAATATGACGTAAGTTTGAAGAATATCCCCAACATTCATTTAAATGAACCAAAAAATTACTACTTTGCTTTTTTAATTCATTTATAGTATCACAAAAAGACTTGTTATTTTCGTTTCCACAATTTTTTAATAAAACTAAATATTCTTTAAAATCAACAATATTGTACGGACATTTAAATGTTCCACTATTAAATTGTTTATTGTAATAATACAACCAATCGAGAAAAAAAAATTTGTAAAATGTATCGTCATCAATATTTTTAATATATTTATTGCATTTATTGAGTAAAAAATTTTCATTTAATCTGTATGCACGTACTATCTTATGGTAAATTTCATATGTGTTCTTCCATGAACATTTATATTGTGTTAATCCATATTTTAGCATGTAGTTGAAATAATTACAACTTGATTTTATATGAGATTCATTATTTTTTAACTCTATATCCTTTAAATACTGAAGAAGCACTTTACATTCATCTTTAAAATATGATATGTTATTTGATTGTCTAACTCTTACTTCATATGAAATCATGGTACATACATTATCAATAAGAGACTCCTTAATAGTCATTAGATTTTCGGTAATTTTATCATAATCATCCTTACAACTTGGAAATACCCCCCCAAAATGAAACTTAAATTGATAGTCATAATGCGTATAAGAATTTAAAATAGCATTTATAAAAAAAATGTATAATCTGGATTAAAAAACAAAGAATTTTTAAATTACGTAATATAAATAGAAATTTTAATAATAAGGAGTTGCTTACATCATCTATCCGAGCACTAGAATAAGGCATAATATTATATATGTATGAAAATATACAAATAAAAACTTTTATACATTATAAATTTTTTTCATAATAAATTATATATAATCTATATATAAAATATATAATTCATGATATAACTTTTATAATATTATAAATACATTTGTCATATATCATTTTATTAGATAATCAATATATACTAAGCAATGGTGTTTCCTTATTTTACGATAAACTGGATGGTTTAGCATATAAAAATATAAAATGTATAATAGTTTTATAATATTTGAATAATATAAACATATTATTTAATATATTATGCCTTAAATATATATTAAAATATACTTAACTAATAAAATAAATTATATATTATGTAATGTTATTAATTTTCATATATACATTAGCAATAAAATATTCTTTTTATATGTATCAATATTTATTTAATTACATTAATAAATTGGATACAAATATGCATAATTATAAAACGTGTTAAATAAAAAATTTAGGACTTATGTCTAATTATATATAGTTATATGTTATGTATAATTATAAGTATTCAATTATTATTTCACTGAGAATTAATAATTTATTTTTATATATATAAAATGACAAAAAGAGTAAAAAAAATTACACGTCGTAATTATGATACTAATATTTTACTCGGGTTCAAAATATTTATTATCAATATATATTATGTATAATATTAATATGATTATATTGGCAAATGTAGTGTAATATTTTTAATGTATACATAATTACTTATTTTTTCATATATATAAAACTATCTATTTGATTTTATTTTAATTTTACCTAAATGACATAGATATATCATATAAATATATATTAGGATTATATAAAATGTATAACTATGAATTAGATATTATATTTTTATATGCATGATAAAATTAGTACTTTATCATTATTTTTTCTTATAATACAAATGCGTAACAAAATAATTACATACTAAAAATAAATAATTCATTTTAATATATATAATATTTACTTAATATTTTTATAAGTTATTATACAAAATATAATAATTATTTTATGTCTTTTATGTGCTATTTTTTTTTTTTTTTTTTATTCTCTGTAAGAACTAATGCTCTATTTTCTCAATATACTACACAGAATTTTTATAATATTAAATATAATAATAAGTATAATGCATGTTTTACTATATATCTAAATGATATTATTTTATGAATACATTAATTGATTTTTGGACATACAATATAAATTCACTGTATTAGTATTAGCTGTTAAATATATTTCATGAATTGTTATTTATATACTTATTTTAGGCTTAATAAATAATACACAATATTTTCCCTGCTTTCAGGATACTTTTTTACATAATTTTTATAAAAATAATGTTTTTAGAAAAAATATTTATTTTATATAAATATTTAAAAGCGTTATAAATAATTAGCTGTAATTTAAATCTATATGAACTGTAATTTTTACATTTTATATAAAATATTAATTTTTTCATAAATTAGGAAAAGTTACAATAAAAATGATTTGACTATATATAATTATTTTTATATGGGCAGAATTGGTCTATCATAGAATACATGTATAATAGGAGATTCATTATAATTATAAGCTATATTGAAATACTTGTTTTATAAATATAATATATACAATTATATACTATAATAATATAACAATATTCTTAAGTTCAAATTTAAAATATTTTTTGTATGAATTAAATACTTACGTGACAGAAAATTATATAATATAAAAGAATTGTTTTATTGATTATAAATAATTAAAAGGCAGAATATAATACATATATGTAAAATAATATGATATATGTTATTTTTCCTACAGAATATATACTGGTATATTGTTAAATAATAGAAGAATTATATACTATAAATTAATTATATAATTAATTATGATGTAATATAATACCCTATAAATTATTATAATTCTGATTTACTTATGAAATATCTTATCATTATACTAAGTAACACATGAAATTGTAAAAACAATAATACATTTATAATGCAGTGCTATAAGTGAGGGTAATAATAAAAATGATAACGCAGAAAAAACCCCATATGCTGGAAGGTAAAATAATAAAGATTCAGAGATATATCTGAATGAATTATGTAAAAAATATAATAATATTATGTGCTAACTTCAATAGTATAAATATACATATTAAATAGGATATATGGAATGATGAGTATATATTATGGTCCAAAATATAGTGAAACCATAATCTATATAGTATAGTAAATAATGCAATCTTAATCTAAAATGAGGATATGTTCTCTTTTGATAACATTAAATGGTTAATCATTGCTACAATTTTAAATATATATTTAGTTAATATTTTATTTTTGTTAAAGACAACTAATGATACCAGAATATTTGAATAGCTCAATATATCATATATGCATTTAAATGTATAATCATTCATGAATGTAAAATATATCAAAGACAAATTTAATTATTACCTAATCAAAATTTTTATATATGAATTATTCTCTCCAAACTCTAGCTAAATTTTAGCAATAGAACATGAAAGCAAAAAAAAGAAAAAAATCAATATTAAACAATTTTTTGTGAATATTAAATTGAACAAATAGATGAAGAAATATTAGAAAAATTTAGATAAAATTATATCTACACAAATATCCGAAGGACTAAAACTCCTGTGAACCAAAAATTTTATATTTTTACTAACAATTCATGCTAAAAGGGCATTAAGCATATTAAAGTGATTTTACGAATATGCAATTCTATATGTATTTAGACATTAAAGGACATATTGACGACAATTAATGCCATTAATGAAATGATAATATATTTTATAAAATATGTGGAATTAAACTTAACATTTTGAATACATTTTCACTACACTCCATAACTCCTTACTATACTTAAATGCAAATGCCGATAGTTATGAAAAGTCATTCTAGAGAAAAGATTTCACAAAAATTAGATATTTTTTTAAAACATAGATCAACCCCTTATTAATTCAAATAAATAGAATTTATATAAGCATTATATAAAGAAAATTTTATTTAAAGAAGAAATAAAAAAATACAAAACAAAAATATTTATCCACCATATTTTAATTAAATTTGATGGATCATCTTAAAATTAAATTTATGATTAGGTAAAACATATATATATATAATAGAGTATATAACATTATACACAATATATAAAGAAAGGTATATTTCTAATTTTATGACAATTCAAATTATAATATGATTTGAGTATAACTTTCATAAGATAATGATATATATAGAGTGTATTAATTTTACAGGTTTAATTAACTTCAGCTGTCGCTGATGTATTATATTCTTGTATAATTTTTTTTAATTCATTACAAAAACTGCATTCACTTTAATTATCTGATTATTTTTTATTCAATGATAACATATATATATATCATATAAACCTTTTAATTTGATCAAATCTGTATTGGTAAAAATAGTATTATTATATTTTTAAAATATATTCATTTTTGAATAATAAGTTGCATTTACCAAATAATTATATATCCGTGTAATGTGTGTAATAAATTCGTTTTAGAAATACTTGTTATATATACAAAAATATAAGTATGTACAACCTTCTTCTATTAATGATTCGTCAACATATGAAATAGTTTCTATGGTGCTTAAGTATTATTTATATGTACGACATATTCTATCAATATTGATTTCACACTCAGGGATAATAAGTTGTGTTTCTGAAATACCACAATCCACATTATAATCAGCATTCCCTGTCATTACATTTTGTTCTATGACTCTATTAAATTAGCTAAATTTCTATAGAAGAACACTTTGAAGAAAAAAGAAAAAATAATAACATGGCAAAGAATGCACTGAGTATGAAGAAATTTTTTAATATACATGGAGTTTGAAATATAAAAATATTATAATTTTCTACATTCATATGTTTTTTCTTATATACATCTGTTGTAGTAATCTCCGATGTGATTATATATTTTGGATATGATTTATGTAAAATAAAAAAATTTAATAAGTTGAATATATACAATTTTAAATGTAAGAACGCATAAAGTAAGACCTTTTAATATTCCTCATTTTTATTATTATATAGTTGAGTATATTCATAAATCATGTCATCCTTAATAAATATACAGGTAAAATATTCAATTAATCATTTGCAACAAGTAATATATATTCATAATTACAATGAAAAAAAAAATGAAAAATATAAGTATATTATATACGAAATAAAAAAAGGATATCTCAGTCTAAAATGTAGTATTAATGATATAGGTCTATATAAAAATTATATAATTTTATTCATAAAACGAAAAATGATATATAGAACTAATATTACTTATTAATTCTTATATGTATATCTCTAACATTTTTTGTTTTTAATTTAGTTTCAGCATTAGCATGCACAATTTTGTATAATCCTCACAAAATCATAGGATAAATAATCTTCATATTTCAATATGTATTTATTTGTTTAATCTTATATAAAAAATGAGAAGGAACAATCAAAAACATAATTAAAAGCTACGTTTACTATATCTAATTAGAATATATTAAGTATATTATTAGTTTAATATCTTATAACTCCTAATATAAGAAAATGTTTTATTGTAATATAGCTTTGTATAGATATAGTTATCTTAGATTAATGGTGTAACATATAATTCAACATTGAATAAATTTTCATAAATAATTTTTGTACAATGTTCTTTTACTTTTATTTATATATATTTATTAAACAGTGAGATATATATAACACATACTAATATATTTTATGAAATATTTGTACATATTTTTTTTTATTATATGCAAATTTATATGACTTTATGTTTGTGCTATTCAAATATTTATATATAAAATTTAAATGAATTTAATTCCTTTTGCTCTATTGCAGCAGATATTTTATTATTTAAATATTATTGTTCTTTTCTATAATTTTTGCGTGTGCCATCAACGTAATTTTTTGGAATATATAACTATAGTACAAGTAATATTATTTTATATACAACAAAGAAGGTTTCAATCCTTTTTATA